CGTTCACAGAGAGCGTGGTGGGACCCGGCCCACTCCCGCATGTGGCTGCTAACAGAAGGCGTGGCGGGACCTGGTGCACCGCTGCCACGTGGCCGCTCACAGAGGGCGTGGTGGGACCGGTGCACCACCGTCCCAGGGCCGCTCTTGAGTGACACGGGCAGACCCTGGCGTAGCGCCTCAGCGTCCTGCTTATGGAGGGCAGACCGCTCCTGGCAGGTGTGGCTCAAACCACCCCTGGAAGGTCCGGGGCTGCTGTGGGACCAGCCACCAGCCCACCGCCCCCCCCCATTCACTCTGCTCAGCCCCAGGCCGCCTCCTGCTCCCCGTGCTTGGAAAGCAGGCCCTGAGAGCAGCTCTGGCCTCTGGAACCTTCTGGAAGGATGTGTGCTCTGCGCTGTGCAGTGACTGGTGCCTGGCACTGCTGAGCGCTCGGAATGTGGCCAGTGTGATGCAGGTGGATCAGGGATGCTGAATCTGTGTTATTTCACATTAATTTAACGTGCATTTAAATGACCGTACTGGTTGGTGGTCGCCATATTGCAGTGAAGCCCTGGCTCTTTGGGGGCTGCCTGCTCTCACCCTCCAGTTTCAAGGGACACCCCATTACAGTTTAGGAATTCCAGGAAAAGCACCCCATGCCTCTAATGGGTTGAATAGTGTCCCCCAAAGGCATGTCCCCAAAGGACACATGCCCTTCTATGGCAACGGTCCCTGCAGATGTAAGCACAGCAGCTAAGTTAACCTGAGCTCATATCCGAGTAGGAGGGGCCCTAAATCCAACAACAGTTGTCCTGATGAGAGGAGGAGACCACCGCCTGAGGACCCGGCGGAGACTGGAGTGATGCAGCCATAGGCCAGGAATAGCTGGAGCTGAGCAGGGCGGGGAGGACCCTTCCCTAGAGCCTCAGAGGGCGTGGCTGCACCCCGAGACCCCGGGGAGGCCCAGTTCTGCTTTGCTGGCCCACCGCACCTGCCACACTCACATACACGTGGGGCCAGGGTTGTTCTCAGAGCCGGCCATAGGCACCGGCATGATGAAGCCTGGGAAACCTGCTTAGTTGGGTCTTTCTGCCCCCAGTCATGGTGGGAGATCAGATATCCAGAGCTGGCTCTCTGACTACATTGTCAATGTGCCATCAGAGCAGTCCCCTGCCCTGATAACCTGTGTGGTCTGGGGACTCCAGGGGGGCTGGAACCAGCCTCCACCCCCCCCCCCCCCAGCAGACCACCCCCTCACCTCTCGGTCCAGGCCAGCCGCCACCGTCACGATGTCTCCCGTCTCACTGTTGATGGTGAACATGTTCTGGGATGGACTCTGGGGGCTCTGGGTCACGATTCGGTAGCGCACCATCCCGTTGGCCGTGGTGCTGTCATCAGCATCGTTGGCTGTGACTGTCATCACATAGGTGCCTGGAATAGGAAACCAGCTCATGGAAATGATCTGCCACACACACTGCCACTTCAATGGACACATCCAGGGCAGACATCACCAACTGATCCCAGATCTTTCTCCCTGAGAATGGATGCAGCTGCTGTAGCCCACTCCTACACCATGTGCTGGGACGTCCTGGTAACTGTCAGAGGTGGTGTTAGAAGGCAACCCGGTGCCTGCTGGATCTAAAGGAGGGATGGAAATGACCCACCACTCATGCTGCTGTTCCCATTCACACACCCAGGGCAGACATCACCAGCTGATCCCAGATCTCTCTCCAGGAGATGACGTAGCCACAGCATCTCCTACCCTCACGCCACGGGCTGGGACGCACTGCCGACTGTCAGGGGTGGTGCACACCTGCCACACGGTCATCGAGGGATTTCTCCGGGAGCATCTGCCCGGGCCTCTTCCTTTCTCGTGGGACAATAGAACCAGGCTGGAGCCCAGGCTCCCAGCCTTGAGCCCTCTGCTGTCTCCTGAGCCACACGGCAGCAGGCACCATCTGTCAGGTGGCTGCCAAGGCTCTCCTGTCCTGGCGGAGTGTGGCCCGATGAAGCGTAAAGGGAGGGACATTAGAGGCCAGAATTAGGCCTGGCACGGGGCTGAGTATACGGACGGCGTATGATAAATACCCATGGCAAACAAACCTGGAAGAGCTCCTTGTAGGGAGGCTGGGAGTGTGGTACTTAGAGTGGGGGATGGGGGAGTCTGAGGTGCTGATGGGACCTGGCTGTATTTCCCTGCTGAGGATGGACCCTTTTGCTGGCTTTGGCTGTATGAGTATGACAGGTTGGGGGCTGTGGTCGTTTTGTGGCCATGAGGAGGGAGAGAAGAACAAGACCGTCTAGGGGAAGTGAGTGGCTGTGGTGACAGCCTCTCAGTGGGCAGCACCTGGATCAGGCCGCACCTGAAGCTGTACTGGGGACTTTGGTATGCCTGCTCTAAGCCACTTTCCTTTAGGTTTCCTTGGCACTTGCTCCCTGGTGGCCCATCCCTGAGCTTGGGGGACCCCGAAGACACGCCTGATTTGCTGGGACCCCACAGCAGGCAGGGTGAGTGAGCGTCTCCCTTTCCCTCCACTGCAGTGGGGCCTGAAGAGCCCTCCCCACCGCACAGCAGGGTGGCACCCATCCCTGGCCCTCCCTGAAGGAGACCCAGACGGCAAGCACATGGCCCTGGGTGTGTCTGACTGGGAATTTGCTTCAGCTTCCAGCTTCGACTGAGTAAAGTGTTCTCAGAGCAGATACATTTTATGAAAACAGCAGAGAGAGCCGACAGAGGGAGAAAGGGGTTCCTCGTCCAGGGCCTGGGTTCTGCATCCTCATTTGGAGATGGACGTGGCTGGCCCGCCTCCTCGTGATTCTGAGAAGAGCAGCTGCCCCCGGAGCAGGCCCTGCATGTCCACCCAACAGGCAAATGGAGGTGAGGGGCAGTGTCCTGAGGCTAGGGGCTGTGATCCCACGAGGACCCACTCCCATACCTGGACCCTCCCTTTTAAAGCAAACGCTCACTGGCACCTAGTGAATTGACAGATTCGTGCAGTCGTCACCACTGTCTAATCCATAACGTTCTCAATACTCCCAGAAGAAACACCTGCCCAACAGCAGCCACCGCCGTTCTCCCACGCCCGGCCCCCGGACCCCAGTCTGCTTTCTGTCTCTGGCTTTGGAATGCTAGGCATTTCCTGTGGATGGAATGGCACAATCTGCCTGGCGTGTCTCCCCTGGAACAGTGTTTCCCAGGCTCATCCATGTGGTGGCACGTACCAGGACTTTATTCATGTTCATGACTGAGTAATACTCCCTTCAGGAGCCCTGGTGGCGCAGTGGTTTAAGTGCTTAACTGCTAACCAAAGGTTGACTGTTTGAATCCACCTCCCCAGGAGAAAGATGAGGCAGTTGGCTTCCCTGCAGACTGACA